ATGTTCTACTTTCATTTGCTATTTCCAGGCAATCTGTGTTAGTTATTCTGGCCGTCCAAGGTATTCGCAATATTCTTCTCAAGAACCACATTTCAGTTTTTAGAATTCGCCGTAGACATTTCATTTGATTTGTTTCGATTTTTTTTCTTGTTGTTAATTCCACGTTTTGCACTGATAACACTAGTATAGTGACCCCAGACCCCATACATTAAAACCAGGCCTTTAAGTAAATGAAAATACACAGAAAATCGATTTTTAGTATAATATAATTCCAAATAATGTTAAATATAATTCGAAATAATGTTAACTTACAACATATTTAATGTGATCATTCAACTTGTAAAACATTAACAAGCTTACATATAGGAAAAATAGTAACCGTCGGCAAGAAACAAGGCTGGGCAATCAGCGCGCATGTATCATTAGAAGTCTACCAATCACAAGTCGAGCAGCGCTTGCCAACAAATCTCTATGTAGGATGTGTTGAGGTGAATTTGTTGTTTTCCCTTTTAAAACTTTCATAGCTCAGGACTGCCCGGGGACCCGACAGAAAACATGTCGCGACCCCATTTTGGGCACTCAAACCATGGATTGGGAACCTACTAAATATGACCTAATGGGTTAAAGTTGCAGCATCATGGTACTCAAAGAGTTGGTCTTAAACTTTTTAACTCCCCCCCCCCCCCCCCCAGTCCCTTTAAAAAAATAACAGTAGAAGTGGGAAGAGGAGGTGGGCAGGTTTCTTTAGTGTAAGCTGACCAAAAATTAAAATCTATATGAACGCACTGCACCTTGGTTAGGTTTCATAGTAGAGAGCCCATCACCCATCATGCACTGTGACTGAAAGAGATGAAAGGGCGGTTGGCACATCGTGCTGTGATTTACAGCTAGGCTGTAATATCTGCCACCTTCATCCCAACACGTCAGATTTCATCAAATCCCTAATTAATCGTGTTTTTTTTAACAACACACTTATTAGTAGGGCAGTTGGGTTTTCTCCTCCTCCCCCAAATGGAGCTCTGAAACTCACACAGAATATGATTATGTATGTGCTTGGGGCAATAAGCCTGGGTGAGGTCCACTATAATCTACCCTGCTAAACTAGGTCACCTTCCATTTATCGATTTTAATACTCGTCTGCTGTTCGGGAGGTTACGGCTATGTTATTTGATTCCTGGCTTTTCTTGCATTTATGTGTTTGTTTTTTCTTCAAAAAAAAAAAAAAAAAAAAAAAAAAGAGAATGACTTAGGTTGCAGCACTCTCTAGGGGGAAGGGAGTAGGTTTTTTGTGTGGTCAAACTCAGTTTCTAAATGTTTTTGTAGTGTTAAAAGCGCTGGCGTGCTTAAATATGCAACACGCGATATCAACGCATTGCCGAACACCCCCTAGCGGTGTGCGAAGGTCGGGTGACTGGAGGTCGACCATCAGAAGCGAGCTAGTGTAACGTGGGGAGATTATAGTGAAACTAACCTGTCACATTGCCCTTGCTGCTCTAGTATACTAATGTGAACTGTTGAAACACCAAGAAACAGCAGGTTGCTGCTGAAGACCATTAATCAATACTTCCCACACTTTTGGCATTTACATAAGAAACATAAACGTAAGATATATTCACAATCGTTAAGTTGCCCGCGATAATAAGACATTTTACACGACAGAACATGCTAAAAACAGAAAAAGTTACTGTGGGTTTTGGCAAAGTCTTGGATTAACGTTAAACAGTCAGCAGCCAGTCGAACTGTGGTAGCGCAGTGGTTCTCAACTTGTGGGTCGTTACCCTTTTGTGTGTCGAACGACCCTTTTACAGGGGTCGCCAAAGACTTTTGAAAAACTCATATTCACTCAAGTTATGAAAAAGCAAAGAAATTAATTCTATGGTTGAGGGTCGCCACAACAAGAGGAACTGTATTAAAGGGTCGCGACACTAGGAAAGTTAAGAGCCACTGTGATTTCGTGTCCAAGACGTAGATAGCTCATCGGTCTGCTTCCATGACAGAGTGGAGTAAAATCCTTCATGGGCGTCATTTGAGCTTGTCCCCAGTTGAGTCACAGGACAGTTCAAAATTTTAAAGGGTGGTAAGACTGGGTTTTCCGGCTCTCTGTTGCTTTTAAAGACCCCAAAACATCTAGAACTGGCCTTCACCCCAACACACCTACGTCACACGAGAGAGTGCAGCATAGGTCCCACGACTGCCTGCAGCCTAGTTCCCACGACCGCCTGCAGCCTAGTTCCCACGACTGCCTGCAGTCTAGTTCCCACGACTGCCTGCAGCCTAGTTCCCACGACTGCCTGCAGCCTAGTTCCCACGACTGCCTGCAGCCTAGTTCCCACGACTGCCTGCAGCCTAGTTCCCATGAATGCATGCAGTCTAGATCCCACGACTGCATGCAGCCTATCTACCTCCCCCTGAAATATTAGACTATCCCGTGACCCGTGGATTTCCCCTGTTTGGGGTAGGATATTAATAAAGCACCCCTACAGCTTATTCTGCCAAGCGTCGTAGAGAGGAGTTTTATGCAGTTTCCCGCCTTTTGCTAGTTGTGTTGCTTGAGTTAATGTCTTACCGCGTTTCTATAGTGTTTCTTTTACTTCCTCCATCCATAGCTTTCTTGGTCGACCTCTTGCCTTGTCGCCTGCTGTTCCCATGTAACAGGCTTTAGCTGCTGGCTTATTTGGACTATGACATAGTTAGTGGTACGAACGAAATGATGCATTTCATACATACTCATCAGATATTAGGATGTAAAGTGAACATCTTTTTTCCTGATACGAGTCTCATTTCAAAGAAAAACAACATAGTCAGCTGTCTGCAAGACTGTAGCTCTCATAGGCCTTACACAGTTGTATAACAATCTCCTCCCATCCGCGAATTGAACCCTGATCCCTGTGCTGGCAAGCTGGTGTTCTATTCACTACGTTATCACAGTTGTTTGTGTAAATGTTCAAAAATAAATATAGATCCTATGGTGATTTGGCACCTTGATGTTGAAGAAGAAAGACAGCGAATAATGATGAAAAAATCCATGTTACTGATGAATCCCTTGTTTGCAGCAAAATTGTCTTCGCATTAACAAGCGAACATGACTAACTCTTTCGGTACCATGTAACTCATCATGCCTTTATTGTGAAAGTTCATTGCAAAAGTTCATTGCCAGAGTTCATTGGGAATGTTTACTGGGAAAGGTCATTGGGTAGTCCAAAGATATTGCAAATTTCTGACTTTCGTCTGTCACAGATGCCTATTACATTACCTCATCAATTATAAGCTGGGAGCCTCCATGGTGAAGTGCTCAAGTTGCTTGCCTCGTGGGTTCGTTTTACGGCTTCGTCGTTCGTTTCACGGATGCAGTTTTTGTTTTACTGAAACCCGCGGTGTTCGTGTTTTGTACGTAGCTCTCGGTAGGCGGCCATCCGCTTTGCAGCGAGAGACTGATCCCTATGGGCGAGATCAGGTGCAATAAAGTGGATCCTCTGGACTTTAACCTTTTATCATTTATAAGTTGTTGGGTGCATTTCTTCTGACATATATAGTGTTATTATTTTAACAGTCTGGATGCACACATTGGCCACTTTAACCTAGAACTTCTCACGATAAAAGGAATTATTATTGTGACCTAGAACTTGTCCCAGAAAAAGGCGTTACAACTTTAACCTAGAGCTTCTCACAACAAAAGAAGCCTAGACTGTGACCTAGAACTTGTCCCAGTAAAAGGTGTTCCTACTTTAACCTAGAACTTCTCACAACAAAAGGAGGAGCTTGTACTGTGACCTAGAACATGCCACAGTAAAAGGAGTTCCTACTTTAACCTAGAACTTCTCATAACAAAAGGAGTTACTACTTTAACTAGAATCCTCACATTTAGAGAAATTCCCAGTTCTTTTAAGTTATTTCACCACATCACGCTGGCTTCGAGATTTAGTAGGGAAATGCTTAGACAGTCCCATAATATAGGGGGGTTAACGTCAGTGCTAGTGTTAAATGAATAGTGACTACTACTAAGCCTGATCCTAATCTGTCCCCACCCCCATACTATGGGACGGTCTGGGGATTTCCCTACCAAATCTCGAAGCCGGCGTTATGTGGTAAAATAACATAAAAGAACCGGAATTCCTACTTTAACCTAGAACTTCTCACAATAACGTTGTTACTTATCCTAGAATCTCTCACAATAAAAGGAATTCCTACTTTAACTTAGAACCTCTCACAATAAAAGGAATTCCTACTTTAACCTAGAACCTCTCACAATAAAAGGAATTCCTACTTTAACCTAGAACCTCTCACAATAAAAGGAATTCCTACTTTAACCTAGAACCTCTCACAATAAAAGGAATTCCTACTTTAACCTAGAACCTCTCACAATAAAAGGAATTCCTACTTTAACCTAGAACCTCTCACAATAAAAGGAATTCCTACTTTAACCTAGAACCTCTCACAATAAAAGGAATTCCTACTTTAACCTAGAACCTCTCACAATAAAAGGAATTCCTACTTTAACCTAGAACTTCTCACAATAAAAGGAACTCCTACTTTAACCTAGAACTTCTCACAATAAAAGGAATTCCTACTTTAACCTAGAACCTCTCACAATAAAAGGAATTCCTACTTTAACCTAGAACCTCTCACAATAAAAGGAATTCCTACTTTAACCTAGAACCTCTCACAATAAAAGGAATTCCTACTTTAACCTAGAACCTCTCACAATAAAAGCAATTCCTACTTTAACCTAGAACTTCTCACAATAAAAGGAATTCCTACTTTAACCTAGAACTTCTCACAATAAAAGGAATTCCTACTTTAACCTAGAACTTCTCACAATAAAAGGAATTCCTACTTTAACCTAGAACTTCTCACAATAAAAGGAGCTGCTACTTTGACCTAGAATCTCTCATAATAAAAGGAGTTTCAACTTTAATCTAGGCCCTCTCACAGTAAAATTAATTAGGAAATCACTGGCTGGTACCGAAAGAGTTAACTATATATCCCACGAGACAAGAAACCTATTCTTGGGAATCCATATCTTGCAGCCATTGGCGTATCCGACAATCCCGGTTGGAGTCATGGATATCACATTTATATGACAGCATGTGGCTAGGTCGAGCAGTGCCGCCTCTGCTTCGGTCTCTAGGTATCTCCTTCTTATTAGCACGAATCACCTTCTCTTGCAGACGAGGGTCACACGGGGCACCTCCTCTATCATCTAATACTCTATCTCTGTTCGCCGCCTCACATTTCCGATCCTGGATCAGAGAATCCGCTGTGTCAATATTTTCCGCAACTGTCTCAGTGACCAAGATGATAGCATCTGGACCTTTAGCAGCTCCGGCTTGTGTTTTATCCATGGTTTTCAGGTAGCTCATCGACTGCGACGGCCGAGCACAAACGTCTCGGGAGACGACATCCTCGGAATACGACATGAAGCGCCTCAGCTGCGAAGGTTTCAGAGACACCTTTTCAGAGTCTGTTAACGATAAATCATTTTCTGAGTCTGAATCATTCGACAATAGCCCTATGCTTCTTGTGGTGCATTCACTGTTTAACGATAAGGCGCTGCCAACCCTACTGGATGAAGTCAGAACTTTGAGACAATTAGTCGAGGACTCCATTGTATCTACCCACTCAAACTGCCCTCGTGTGTGGTCTTTGGAGTTAACATCCAGATCCACAGACCGTCTGAAAGTTCTGGGAGAGCAGAAGACGTCTAGGAAGTTCTCTGTGCTTGCCAGATCACCACCGGGTCCTAGCCTGATAGCCAAGTTTGGCATGCTAGATGCTGGAAGTCCAATATCAGACGATGACCTCACCCCCATGTGCGAACCACTCCCATGACCTTGTTGTCCAGCAGATTCCCCTTTTTCCGTCACGCCCACTTCTGAAGACGAGGGCATCCCGAAATGCACAGACGATGACAAAGATGAAGAGAGTAACGATGTGGATTCCTTTCTATCGCTGAGAATAATCGTAGGGATATCAAGTATTTCCCCGGGCTTTGGAGCTGATGCCGGTCTTTTTTTTGTGAGTTCTGCTAAACGGGGGTCACTGGCTTTTGCCAT